GTGTGTGTGTGTGTGTGTGTGTGTGTGTGTGTGCATGTGAAAAAGGATACTGCCACTATCAAGCCTTCTCAAGCCCATCAGGAAGATGTGAAAGTCTGTTGCAGCAGCAGTCCAACAAAGCACCAGATAACGGCACGTCTGTCAACTGTCAGCCTGGCAGAYGAGTGGCAGAGGCAGGAAAAGCTCATTCTTTCCCATCTCAGTGACGCACTGAAATCTGTAGTGTATCTGGGGGTCACGAGAGGAAGCTCAGGAATGAAGGACAGTTGCATGGTGGGAAGGGGGTGCAGGTGATGAACCGAGCAGCTATTCGGATCTGTGGAGGAGCCACTGTTGACACAATCAAGGTCTCTCGGAGCTGTTAGATGGGACGGCTCGTGTCGCCAAGWAGAGTGTGGCACAGGCCATGCATTTGTTGGATGTCTCACATAGTTGTGTGGTGGAAATCTCTCTCTGTCACAAGGTTTCTGTAAACTTCACCTTTGACTTGCTGCTGTCTTCCTAATCAAGAGGAATGTTTCCAGAGAACCTTGTCTGGCGCTTAATGAAACCACGTGTTTAGTGTTGTACCTTTATTATTATTATTTTTGCTTGTTTACAAAAATGCTTTTCATCGTGAAATAACCCTGAGATGGTTTTAACAAGAAAAATATTTTATACTGCCTAAGAGCAACTCCACTCACACTAAATCCAGTAACTTTCACTGTCCACCATTATGACCCCACACCTCATTGCGTTTCAATTTCATTTGGAACAATGTTGTCTGATAGATGCATCCTGCCATGTTTAACAACATCAACAAACCCACATTACTTTGCTTTTGTCAAAAAGAAAGGCTCAATGAAGCCTAAAAACAGTTTGCAGAACTCCACCACTTACAGAGCAAATAAACAAGTGAAGAGAATCAACCCCGGAACGCCCACCAACAACAACATCGCCCATCCACAAGGAAGAGGCTACAGGACAGTGTTTATAAAATCCTCATTAAGGAAGTTGTGAGATAACGCACACGCTAGGGCATCACACAAAACTAAAGGGAATGCACGCACACACACACACACACTCACCACACAAAGAGACCATACGCACTGTGCAATGCAGAGCCCACCGTATTATAGATAAGGGACTGAAACCCAGAGCTGAGAAGAGAGAGCAGAACAGAGACAGACGGACAGAAGAGAGGACCCAACAGAGATGAGTCAGACAGACGAAGACAAGCCWCGGCCACCCTGTCACCGGAACCACGGTCCTGTTGAAAGGGACTTCAAAAGGTGCGCATGAGAATAAATGCGGTGAGACCTGGAGGGGAGCACCAGGAGCAAACACGCCTGCCGAGGGGCTCGTGTTGGTCAGTGCAAGGGTCAACACCAGTTCAGCTTCACCTAAGGACTCAGAACTGTCTCAGCCTGTAGATGAACCGACCAGAACTCCACTAAACCTTTACATTTACACGGTCTGAGAACCAAATCATTTTATTTCCTTGTTGCATGAGCTCATCTATAGGCCACTCCAGAGGGCAGAAACTTGAGTGCTGCAGATTACTTCTCCCATGGCGAGCATTTGGGTCTCTCAACTGGGAACCATTTGCACCTACAAGATTTTCTTCTTGATGCTTTCTGTCGTGCTGCTCTGGGGGCCTCTCTGCGTGAAGAGCAGCCCCATCTCCAACGCTCATCGAAGGCAACGTCCTGCACCAGGACTGGGGGACGGGCATGGAGGTGTGGTGGATCCATCCGTGTTGGAGCAGGACAGCAACAAGAAAATGCAAGACATGATGGAAAGCCTGAAGGAGCAGTTTCTGCGAGCTTTCAACCTGTCCGGTTTGGGTCCTCCACCTCTGTCAGCTGGAAATACACGAGAGGAGCCTCCTGAATACATGATGGAGCTTTATAACCGTTTTGCTAATGACCGGACGGCCATGCCCACCGCCAATATTATCCGCAGCTTCAAAAATGAAGGTACGACTTTGTTCTACTTTCCTAAACATGGATATACAAAACAGCTTCATTTCTAAATTCCATATATTCTTTATTGGCATTTAATCATAAATTTAAACAAGACCAGAATGTTTTTTTCAAATATGAACAGTTTTAAATAGACTGTGGATAAAAGCTTGTGTAAACCAATGTTAACTCCTTTGTTCTGTGGTCTAACAATGGAGCTATTCTATTTGCAACTTTTTTCTTTTGTTTTATTTTTTCACGTTCAATAAAAAAGTTTTTTGATATATTTTTTGTGATAGAAATCACAATAAAATGTTGACATTTAGTTTAAAAGTAAGCTTTACTGTGAACAAGTCGATTTATTTTTCTTTCAATCTTTCTCTGTTCAGACACAAATCCCAGTGTTGTGGGTGTTGGAGGAGTGAGACGTCACCCTCTCCTCTTCAACGTGTCGATCCCCCGTCATGAACACATCACAGCAGCCGAGCTTCGCCTCTACACTTTGGTCCAAACTGACCGCCACCTCTACGCTGGTGTCGACCGCAAGGTCACCATCTATGAGCCGGAATCTCAAGACTGGTCCGGTAACGTGACTGATGGAAAGACGGCGAGAGGCGACACCTTCCAAGGGGTACAAGACCGGACTGAGCTGGTGAAATTGGCCTCTCGCCAGGTTTACGGGACCGATAATGGCTGGGAGGCTTTTGACCTTACCAGTGCCGTTCAGCGTTGGCGCAAAGCTGAAGGTGACACCACGCGCCGGCTGGAGGTGCACATCTCCAGCATTGGTGACAATGAGAATGTTCAAGGCTCGATGAACAACAGCACTGACAAGAGTTCACCTGAAGGAGACATGAGGATTGAAAACAACTCAGAGGAAAAGCATAAACCCCTGCTGATTGTTTTCTCTGATGACCGGAGCAGTGATCACCGTGATGACAGGCGAGAGCTGAATGAGATGATTGACCATGAGACTTCTAATGCAGTTCTGCAGAATGACATGAAGACGGACCTGGACGGGATGTGGGGGGAGCTGGGAGAGGATGGGGACGGGGGAGACCCAGATGAAGAAGATCTTATCCAGATGCGCTCTAACTTGATCTATGACACCGCATCTCGCATTCGACGCAACGCCAAGGGCAACCACTGCAAGAAGCAGTCTCTATATGTGGAGTTCAAGGACATCGGATGGGACAGTTGGATTCTGGCCCCGACTGGTTATGATGCCTTCGAATGCACAGGCGTTTGTTCTTACCCCCTGACAAAGCACGTCACGCCAACAAAGCACGCCATCGTCCAGACGTTGGTCAACATCAACAGTCCTCAGAAGGCAGCCCAGGCCTGCTGTGTGCCAACCAAGCTGGACCCCATCTCTCTGCTCTACCTGGACGACACAGGTGTGGTCACCTACAAGTACAAGTATGAAGGCATGGTTGTGGCTGAGTGCGGCTGCAGATAGTCCACAGTTTCAGGCAGCAAGGGGCCMTTTAAAGTCTTACCACAAGAGGAAAGATGCAAAATAAGCAATAAGCTACATGACGACAAATCAAGAAGGTCTTTGAAGAAAGAAATGAAGGATTGTTGGAATCTTTGTGAGAGTTACTAACTAAGACTGGAAGTGTTCATTCTTTGTTGATGAACCTATTGTGCAATCCAAATGAACAGCTATATATGTAGATATATATTACCGTAAGATAGAGAGTAATACTTCATCTTTTAAGGTAAAAAAAACCCCTAAACATCAGTCTGACAATGGAGAGAAAGTAGAGCTGTGCAACAGAACTACAGTCAGAATGTTGTCATTGAAAAAGTCATGCCCTCATTCCTACAAGACTTAAAAATACACAAGTTTTCTCAAAGAACTGAGTCCATCCTATAATCTGGTGGGAACTAGTGGGTCAGTTGTACTCCTCCCTCTCCTTCCCCCTTGACATCTTCCTCTCCACTTATCTCTGGCCTCCCCACTCAACGTGAACTACTAATCAGCACTTCATGTGCCTCGGTGCAGTCAAATGACCTGCCTGAGGCAACCTGACAAGCCATGGACTGTACAGACCCACCTCCAGCTTCCTACAGGCCCACCTCTGGCCTCCTACAGCCCCCTGACATGTGAACACTGTGGAAGCGGTCCCGGTGGCAGGGTTATTTATCTTCTTCCTGTTTCCCTCTTCACATGCTTATTTTCCACTCTCCCCGAGTCACTGTGATAGCAAGGTGTCGAGGGTTAAAAAACATGTACACCAACACTCATGCTTGGAGGACTTGAAGCCATTTGGACACTTCTGATGTAGTGGGACATGTCCACATTCCTAGGCAACCTTTTAAACTAACTGGCTGTCATATCTCCAACCAAGTCGTCCATCACTTCTGTGGACAGATGGCCTTTTCTGAAGATTACTTTGACTTTAAGTAAACAGGTCAAATGGGCCATGTTGGGTTGGTTACCCAAATGAAATGCTTCCTTTTTGTTATAAACCATTTGATACGTCTGCTGCTTGTGTCAAATAAAATACTATTTATTGTTCTAATTTATTAATTTCTAAACAGAGTTGATGACTATATATGTACATTTGTAAGTCAGTGTAGAGGAAGTTTTGTACCCGTGACAATGCATTTGCAGCACAAAATAAATTTTGTTGGGAAGAAAAATTGTACCGTTTTTTTTACAAAGCATTTTAAATACTTCTTATTCTCAAGTTTTATGAAAGTTTGCATATGGAGTTATTGAATATGTTATAAGAGTTACGTTTAAGACTTTTGGATGAACATAAGCCTAACACTGAACTTCACTGCAAACTGTGCATAACTTTTTCTTTACATTAGTTTTAATTGAAGAATTTCTTTGCCATCATTTTTGGAAGAAGTTGTAGGAACAGACGAGCATCGCATTGCTGACATTCAGATCATTCATACCATCACTATCTGCTTCAGGGTCACAGTTCACCCACAACACACAAACAGAGCACCATGGGAAAATACAAAAAAGGCCTGCTAATGAACAAAATGAATGGCCTGCCCCCCGCGCTGACAACTAGCAATCTGAAATAAAAAATGAGGAAAAAACCTGCTTGGAAAGAGAAAATGTGGCCAAAAAAAGAACCCAATAGTCTCAATAGAATTTTTTTGATTGTGCTAAAAAGAAATGAACACATGCACAWTGGTGCTATACATAAATAAACTGCCAGAAAATGTATGCATGACCTTCCTTACAATTTTATCAGGCTCACAAGATAAGCTACAAACTGTCTCTTTTACTTCTCAATTTGCTCAGAAAACTGAGGATACCGAGGGAAGACTTGTCAAATAACCAACACTGAAGCCAAGAAAAGGAACTTTAAATCTTTCAGAGTTTTGTTAGATGTTTTGATATATAAACCAAAAACAGCCAAACGAGGCAGATCAATCTCACTGATGATCTTGCAGAAGAGAACCACAGTGAGAAGCTCTGCCTCCAGCAAACATGCATCAAACAGAAAGTCTGCTAAAATGGTGACAAAGTGTATTTTTATGCATTATCTTGTTATTTTAATTCATCTGCATATTTAGGTTTTTACTGAGGGATTTTTTTCAACTGTTTTGACAGATTGTGGTAAAATATATTACTAATAAATATTCTGCTGATAGAAATAACATGTACGAAGTGAACTCTTATAATTTGTTTTAATTTTGATATTGTTTCTTTAATCAACAAGTTGTTTGTTCTACACTATATATGTACTGGGGTAAAGGTATATTTTATAGAATAGAATAGAATAGAATAGAATAGAATAGAATAGAATAGAATAGAATAGAATAGAATAGAATAGAAACAGCCTTTATTGTCCCGCACGGTGAAATTCGGGTGTAGCAGCAGCAGATACACACGTACATCAATCCACAGAAACAGCATATTGATATGTGACATTATCAACTGTAGCGATAAAAAATATAATTAAAGATAGCAACAATAAAAAAATAAACATAAATCAAAATAAAAATAAGAATAAGAATAAGAATTGCTATACTGGATTATCAAGATGAAGATAGATAAAAATGAAAGTTAAAGCAAGATACCATGCAAAAAAATACAAAATTACAGGGAAAGAATAAGAATAATTTGACATAATACATCTGAAAACAGAAATTTGCTAAAATTAATTTTTAAAGAAATTTTATAGACTTATTTTCAGTTGGGATGAAGTTTCTATTTTTATTTTATTTTGGTCCTGTTTGATGCTTCTGCTCTAAAAGCTGAATTTGTGTAAAAATAATATTCAATCAAAGCTTAAACCAGAGGCTAGAGGTGGTGCAGTGGTAGGGCAACCAACTTAGGACCAGTAAGTCACAAGTTCAACTCCCTGCCATGCCCATATTTCATAGTGTTCTTAAGCAAGACACCTAACCCCCCAACTGCCCCCAGGGCATTTACAGCAGCCCACTGCCCAATAGGTGTTTCTCTCATGTGATGGGTCGTATACAGAGCAGAAATCTCGTCGTTGAATGAGAACATGCATTGATGATGACTAAAGAACATTTAAATTCTTTTAGTTTCTATAGTATTTTAAATTTGAATGTCTCAGCTAAATATAGCTCATGCACAGAAATATTCCTTCACTTTTTTGTTACAGTACTCCCGTGCAGCTCGTGTTTACAAACGGCAGCAGGGGCCTCTTCGAAACCCAGATTTGGCAGCAGCCCATAAATAACAAGTGACTTCGAGATGTTTCAGAAGGCAAACAAACCTGACCCTGAGCGAGCTTTCTTGTAAAACGGGGCAAAGGTTGTTTAAAAATGCTTCAAGAAGCGAGAGCAGAAACCTCAGTTGATGTAACAAGAGGCAGCTGTGGCTATTTTGGGCTCACTAATTGAATATTTACTGAAGTAAGGAGGAAATATGAATCTGGCCTCTGTCACTGGATGGCAAACATTCAAGACGATGATAAGGACGGCGGGAGAGGGATCTGTGCCTTTTCGCACTTTTTGTTTTGAAACGAGCTTTGCTCCAAAGCCACAACATGAAGGATCTGGCCTACGTGATGAATGTCGAAGTGCACCTAACAACAAGTAAACAAGCCGACGGACTCAGAGTGCGCAGACTTTCAAGTAATTCTCCACTGACTGACATCAACGTGATGGCTGCAGGACGTCGACGTGCCTCTCGATGTGAACGTGCGCGATTTAGTGTGTGTGTGTGTGCGTGTGTGTATTTCATCCAAAGCTGCACGACTCGCCCTAACTCTGACGTGAGGTCTGTAATGGGGCCTGATTGTTTCCGCTTTGGGTTCACTCTGTTTATCATACCATCTTTAGGCAACTCCACCACCCAGCACTCATCTGTCTCTGTCTCCAACTGTCTTTTCACCAGAAACACGAACAGCTTGTGCAACTGCCGCTTCATGTTTGTGTCCAAAATCACCTCCAAATGTTCAAACACATTTTAGCAATTTACATCTGCAGTGGTTACAGTTCTTATAGACGATTAGAAGGGCTGGTAATGGAAGACACATGCTTGCTTCAGTTCAGGCAAAACGGTTTTCTCGGAAAAATCCTTTTTTTTTTCTAAATAAAAAACAAGCAACATACTTCTTTTGTTTGTTTTTTAATAAACTAATGCCTTTGACTCTAAAAAGAAACAATGAAAATACAATATGCCACGTCAGACTGTGAGAAAAGATGAGAGAAGACCAGCTACAGTGTCATTAAATACATGCTATGATGATCTGCTGATGTATGAAAATCTGTCAGTACCTCATAAGCCTTAAAGGAATAGTTCGGCCAATTCAAAGTAAAACTTATACATACTTAATAACCTGTTGTAGACAACTTCTTGAACATCATTCATTTGGAGAAACAGAGTTCATGTTTGGCAGGACTGATGAGCTAATGGCTAGTCCAAAAGCTAATGCTGGTTCAAACACAGTCAAGAGCAAAGTGAACACCTGCTGTTTTATAAGAACAAAATTCAACCATGGTTTATGCAAACAATCATTTATAAACCTTTGTGTCATCAGTTTCTCATTAAGTTATGTTTTACATACGACTATAATTATTTACAGATGTAGCATGTGGGGATGTCCATCAGGAATTTCTTCTTATTTCTGCTGAAAGAACTGTTTAAGCCTAATTTGATAGGAGATGTTTATGTGTAGAGATGTGTAGATTTATTCAGACTAGAGATGCACCRATATGGAAATTTCAGCCAATGTCGATATCCGATAATATTATTAGTGTTATGGCTGATAACCAATATTTACAGATATGAAGATCCTGTCACACTAGACAACTTATGCCAACTTATGAAACATTGCTATGTCTAAATTACTAATAAAAGTTGTATATTTGATCAGTTTGTTAGAATTACAGTATGTACACACCTAAAAGAAGCTTCCAGATGTTTTTTTCAATTCCATCTTCAACGTMGATTTATTAATAAGTTGGCATAAGTTGTCTAAAACAGCATAGTGTGACAAGGCCATTACACAAACACAGAAATTATTTATATACATGTACACAAACATACTTGTGTGTTATTTTGAAAGTGACCAGACATCTGACATGGCTCTACTTCAGTTATTACTGACTGCAGCGTCACTATCATGATCAAACAGATACCACTCGACCATTTCACCTCTAGAAACAGAAACACAAAGCTAAAAAATGGGAAATCAATAACAGATGTTAATATCGGCTCAGTTTTACTTATCGGACTGATGTGATATTCTAAAAAATGACCAATATCAGTCGATACCTATGTTAATGTCAATATATCGTCCATCCCTAATTCAGACCTTATCAACGAGCTAAAAAAGATTGGTCTGAATGAACCCACTTCCAAAACAAATTGCTGCCATCTACAAACAACTCAAAGATTCACAATTTCACCAAATGCTCATCAAAAATATAAATAAATAAAACTTGAACCTCCATGCTGTTTTGCATTCAAGGTTGTTTTGTCAGGATGTGACCTCTGCCACCTGATGTGCTGAATGGCAGTGTAACATTTAAACAGAATAGACCAGAAATGATCATGAGTGCGCGTGAAGCCTAGCTCTTCTGGGTAAACGCTGAGGTTGCCATTGCAACAGTGCAAATTCAATGWGCTCAAAAAGCACACATAGCTTAGATATTTTTCATGAAAATTCTCATCTACAATCCTAAAGGAAATTTTAACACAAATCTGTTTAGTAAAAATACATCGGGGCTGTATAACGGCGTTGAATTTGTGCAATTAACCTCAGCTTTTGCGCTTTGCGCATTTGTGATCATTTCTAACCACAAAATGGTCCACTGTGTGTAAATATTAGAAAGGAGAGGGGCCTTTTGGTGTTCAAAGCTTCGTCAGCTTCTGCAGCATCTGTTTCTGCCATCATAAAGATAAAAACATGTGTTTTTCAAATGAACATAACAGTGTAATGCAAAATTGGCAGTATGGTTTAGGTTATAAAATGTCATTTGAATGAGCTATTGTGAAAGTTTGGAGTGGTAATTAGATGGCAGTAATCCAGTTTAGCCTCCGCGGTTCTTGGACTGCTCGTTAGTTCTGTTGAAATAAACTCTTGTTCTCCAGTGGTGGACAAAGTACTCAACTCTAGTACTTGAGTAAAAGCATTGATGCTCAGGATCAAATCTTACTCAACTACAAGTAAAAGTTACTCAGTCAAAAATCTACTCAAATTAAAGCACTGAAGTTACTTTTTGAAAATACTTAAATATTCAAAAATACATGCATTTAAAAATATACTCAAGTATTCAAAATTACAAATGTTCTATTATCAGTATGTTGTATTGTTTTCAGTGATTTTACAGAACCTTGTAACTCTTAGAAACCACCTAATATACTGACACATAGAACCACTCTGCTACAAATTCTACACCATCTGTAAAGACTTCAGCATAAAAACAMATTAAAGTGAGCAGTGAGTTCTTAACTGCAGAAATGTAGTTTATCTGCGGTGAACACATAAGACATTTAAACTGATACRAACAATGTTTCAGTCCTAAAATCTTAAACATGGAGCTGAAATATGGTCATGGGTGGTTTCTCTACTCTCTTCAACCGTCTCCATTGCTGGGTTCTGTTTGACATGAAGGTGGAGCTCAGGCTCAGCTTGAGACAGTTAACGAGTATATCTATCCCAGGTGTGAACTATGACTGTGATTCGTTTCCCATGTGAGAAACACTGCGTGTGGCCAAATGCATTTAAGACATAAAAACAGCAACAGCTGATTACAAAGCTGTGCTGAACCAAAAGTAATAAGTAACTAAAAGCTTCCTAGAATGTAGTGGAGTAAAAAGTACAATATTTGCCTTTGAAATGTGGTGGACAGAAAGTCATGAGTACCCCAAAACATATTTACTCAAATAAAGATACTCAAAAATGTAGAGTAAATGTACTTTGTTACTGTCCACCACTGTTGTTCTCCAAACTGAGTCCATTCAGAGAGCTATCTACAACAGGTAAGATATTAGTTATAGATTTTACTCATGAACTCACTTCAAATTTAAAGCACCTCAGCCTTTAAGTTGTGTCTCTTCCTGTTCTTCACTCCTCTGGTTCTCATCTCTGTCTAGGTTTTTTTTCTCCTTCAGAACTTTCCGTTCTGCAAACATGAGCCAGGACACTTTCCTTCACTGCCCCCTGCTGTGCCTCCTTCCATGTGTTTCCAAACCAGATCCTTAGTTCTTTTCACAAGACTCACCATCTCTTCTGCTCTCATTTCTAGTCTGTTTTTAAAACGAGTTTCTGTTCTGCTTGTGTTTGTGGGGTTATGTTATTTTTTAATTGTTGCTGGGTTTCCTCAGGGGTCAATCTTCTTGAACACTGGGAAAATTCAATCCTCCTGATACTTGACATGATGAATCAAGGATTTCACTGTTAAACAACACATAATGCATGACTGGCTCAGTCTGATCTCAGTTGGAGCTGAAACAAAGTGCAGGAAGTTTGAGCAATTCTAAGCTCCCTGCTCCTTCTTCAGTGTGAACAAAGTGCCAAAACCATTCAGCTGTCAGCAGCTGAATGCTGCAGAAAGTCAACCCTTCGGTTGTTGCTGAGTAACAGATTAAGTGTTGACAAAGACGACTTTTTAGGAGTCTACAAGTGTAAACACAAACCATCTTTTAAACATGATGTTTTCATTTCAGTTAACTCCCACAGACCTCTATAGATGAGACAGCTGAGAGACTTAGCAAAAAGTAGTGCATGCAAGTATCCTTTAAGTATACTAATTTAAAACAAAAAATAATAATAAAATAGTATACTTCCAGTTTACTTTTTATGTACTTATCTGAGATATACTTAACCAAGTTTATCTTACACTACACTTGGCTTGTACTAGTTTAAGTATACTTAGTCTATACTAATGTTTAAACTTCTGGTCAAGATAAACTTTAGTAGTACACGAAAAGTACATTTTCTGGTTAGTTTGTAGTATATTCCAAGATGAAACTAAAATTATACTTAGAAGAGTACATTCAGTACACATCTGTGTATACTTTCATAAACTTATTGTGGGTCAGTTTAGTCCTAGAAGTATACTTGATAGTAAACTGCTAGTATACTTATATCAGTGTACATGGTAAACAAAAGTACACTTAGGGAAATACACTTTTATACATTTTAATAAACCAATGACATACTTTTTATAAATTTTAAAATTCCCAATTTAGTACAAATTAAAGCAGTATACTTTCTAGTAYGCTACAATTGTAAGGTGCATAGTATACTTGACATACTTAAACTTATACTCAAGTATACTTATTAAAATGAACTTCAAATATACTACAAACCTAAACTCCACTAAAATATTGAGCATCATGAATATTTGATTTTGCTTAATCTCTGTAAAAATGACAGTTACAGCATATTAGGTGTTTGCTGGATCTGTGGTGGCCAATTAAAACTTTACCAGCTGTAGATTACTCTCAAAACTTAAACTCCATCCACTGGTTCAAAAGACACAAACATTACCTGCAGACAATAAATGTAAAACAAGAGGCCGCTTTTGTATGATTCACATCAAATGTTTTGATTTTCACAGGAACTCAACACTTGCATGCATTTTGTCTTTACATTCAAAAATCAATGAATGCATAACTTTTTAGAAAAGTTAGAAGAATAACTTGACGGTCTCTGCAAGGACGTTTTATTCTGTTTAACATAAAAAAACACTACACATTCTTGTTTTTATTGAGAGATCCAGGCTAGTTTTGATCAGTGGTGGGCACAGTTCCCCTAAAGCACTAAAGCACTATTAGGGGAACTAATTTCCTGATTAGTGCTTTAGGGCTTTTGTTAATTTTAAAATTTATTAGTGGATTAGAACTTGCTTTATGGGCTAAATTTAGAAGCACGAACTGAGGTCTATAAATGTTATTGATCAACATTAATGTTAACAGCTGTTCATATGAGTGTCACTGATCCACCAGGAGACATATTGACAATATATGAACCAAATACAGCTGTGGAATGTCAATGATAAGTCTTAAGAGAACAACATGACAACATGTGACTCATGTTGTCTGTTGAAGAATGTTCATGGGTTGACTGGGTTATTTTAGTGCTTTAGAATTAGCTTTTGCTAAATTTTCAGTGTGTTAGTGCTTTAGAATTAGGGGACCTAAATATTTGAGTTCGTGTTTTAGGGCTAGTGGAACTAATTTTTTGATTAGTGCTGCCCACCACCACTGGTTTTGATTAAAGGTGTTTGTAAGGTTTTATTCTTTGCAATTGAATGTTCAAGTCTAAATCTGAATTTGTCTCCTGGTTCGTGTCTTGCCATTCATTAAAAACGTGTTTCTTACAAAAGCATAAGCTAAAAAAAAACATTCCTTCAATTGTTCCCTTAAATGTGCATTTTAGCTGCCTCATGTTGACAAAAACACTAGAATTTAAACTGATTCAMTGTTTGGGCCATGAGGGGACATCAGTGACATTCTTCCTCCATGTTTCATAGTTTTAAGTCTCAGAGTCAGAATCTGCTGTAACTCAAGCATTCCTTTGTTTTCTGCTGCACAAATCAGTACAATCAGAAGTTGAACGCCACACTTATGCGCGGTATGTGCCGAACAACTGGTCCCAGTGAGTGAAGTAAGGGGCGTAGTTGGCACTCTGCTGACTGTGGTGGACTTGGTGGTGGGGGGCCCCTCCCATGCAGGGAAGCAGTCTGTGTAGGGCCCAGGGCAGGTTGTAGCCGCAGTGGTCCTCCACGGCCAGCCAAGTGTTGAGGAGGTGGAAGAGGGCTTCGCTGAGAGGGTGGCAGCCCAGCACCCACACGCTGCTCATGGCCAGCAGCAGCAGCGACAGCAGCTCCACGGAGCTGGAGTCCTGAGCTGCCAGAGCGAAGGGAACRTGGTGCTTGTGGTGCTGCTGGTGGACGCTGCGGTACAACCAGGGAACCCTGAAGAGCAAACACAAGCAGTCTCAGTATCTTTGTTGACCTGTGTATTTACACAATGCATTCCTCTGAATCCCCATCTCTTACAACACATCTGATTTAGTGAATGATTTACCTCTTCAAGTTCTGCAAGCTTGGTAATCACCCATTCATTCAAATCATGTGTGCAGAGAAATTAGTAAAACATGCAGGATAGTGGCACTTGAGGACCAGAATAGGACGATCCTGATTTAGAAGGTTTTGACAGCAAAGTATGCAGTTAACCATAAAAAACAGTTATTCTGAATTATATCAAATGGTGCAGTTTGAAAGGGTTTACCCCATAGTTGTTCAGACACATTTTGTCCAATATCAGTATTGCAATAGACTGGTTGGACTGCAATGCATCATGGGCCTTTTTTTAGCCACTTCAGTAGAAAGCAGAACTGAATATTAGTTTTTTAGTTTCTTCATCATCAGTGACTTTTTTAAAGAAGAAAAAGAAAGAGAAGAAAAAAGTGAAATGTAATGGGAAAGAGTGAAAGAGAGATTAGAAGATATGTGAAATATATATCGAGAAAACACAAGACAACACACCCGACATCTTGCCTGTACACCTGCAGAAACAGCGAGAACAAAAACACAGCAACAAAAAGCATATGTATATAACAATAATGATTATAACCTTGCTGAAAGGTACACACACACACACACACACACACACACACA